TGGAGTATGCTGCGGCTAGTGTCCCCTTGGGACGGGTTAGGCAACAATGAGCCCAATTCAACAAATTGGCCAGTTACTACTTTATCGTGAATGGCTTTCGGCACGGTTGCATAAAACGTTCTCTTACCTGCGGGGTTCATTGGCGGTGAGACGGCAGCCGCCAAATGCGGAGCAGGCAGAGCGTCCTGCGGAGTTGCTGGTGCTTGCCGTGGGAGTGACGCTGCGTGAGCTGGCGGTGGGGGTGCCGCTGTGTGAGCTGCCGGCGGGGCTGGAGCTGCGGCCTGATTTCCAAGGGCAGCACGGACCTCCTCCCGGATAATGTCCCTCAGGGACGAAGCAGCAGTTGCCTGGGGTAGGTTCTGCTCGGCTGCCTGAGTGGCCAAGTCCTCGCGTGCTGCAGTGAACTCCAATGACTCGAGCAGGCGAGTCAGCAGCCTGGGTTTGGTCCCCGTCGTGCCTAGATTGCGGGCCGCCAGTTCTTGTCGCAGCTCTACAGAGCGCATTTTCTTGGCGTCGTTCATTGACAGAGATTCAGACATGGTTGCTCGGAAATGGAAAGTGCTCAATGCTCAAAAATGCTCAAGCTCAAACAAAAACTCAAAAACTGGCCAAGGTTGTCAAGCGATCTGACTGTTGGCGCAGCAAGGATGAAGAAGAAACAGCATCGAGAGCCGGAGTAATGCGCATGCTCCGCGTGGTCCCGTGCCGGGGCGCGGGAGTTCGGAGTGCGTGTTCTGCACGGGCACGTGATGCGCTATGGCAAGTACGTGCAAATTATGTTAGGAATGTAATTGTTGGTGGGTTGCTAACTTCACTTACCGTGCCATGCACGGAAACTTATATTTATATTAGGGCTGAAACGATTATACTTGGTCCGCGTCAGCAATATTGTCGCTTATCTTTCAGCTTTGTTATTATGTCGCCAATGCTCACTTGGCAGCCCATTTCCTCCCCATCTTGATTAGTAGGTTAGTTTACTAGTACCTGAAAGGTCTAGCTAGATTTCGAGAGTGACAGGTTCGTGATTCTTATTGGTACAGCGCCGCATCAATATAGATTATCTTGTCACACTGGGCAGGCAAGAGCAGCGAGTCGCACAAGAAAGTATTCGGTTACTCGGAATCAGTTCCATTTGCAAAACGGATCGCTCACCTCAGGGATCGCTCGCCAAGCTGACATCGCAGTTCCCTCGCCACCAGTGCAACGCTCGGAGTATCCAGCGAATCGTGGAGATTTGCAAGTACTGTACGAGTCATTGTCAGTCAAAATAAATCTTGCAAAGAACGGCGACTGATTTGAACCACACAGGCAGTCGTGCTGCCCACGCGAAGTCCTATAGAAAAGGCGATCGTCACGGTCGACTTCCCTTTAGAAAATAGCCAGGCAGCGGAGAGGAAGAGAGATGAGCTTGCGAAAAAAATATTTGTCACCAGCGCCAGGAGCAGCGACAAGGAGGACCAATAATGCATGAACCCTTCCTTGCACAATAAATTCCACTTGACCAGTTGCCATGCTGTACCTTACCTTCCTTCATATCAAGTTTTATCGTCTCAAGTGCACTTGTTGTCCAAAGTCAATGTATTCCTATCTGTAAATGTATTCCTATCTGTAAATGTATTCCTATCTGTAATTAAAGACTTGTTTTCTTCTGGTTAGTGTGCCATGGTAGAGGATAGACTTAGGCGCAGCCAGTAATTCCCTTACAGCTTATGGTGCCGAAACCCGGGACCAATGGAATCCGGCTTGGACCCGCCAAGCCTGATGTTGTCGCGTCTGTTAGCGATGCGCACCCGTCGCGTCATGTCAGCGTGAAGCATGATGGGCATGATGTAATTCTCCAGTCGCAGGATGGCGAAGTGCGCTGGAAAGCGGAGAAAAGGGAGTGGGAGCTTTCCTGGCAGTGAAAATATGGTGTTGCCCCAGCGGCTATGCTTGGATCCGGATATGTCAGGATTGCGCCTCTCCAGGCTCAAAGCTGCTGGCCAATGTATGTGGAACATGGTAGTATTCATACTCGCGACAGTGTTGCTGTCTAGAGAATCCAAAGAAAATACACTAGAATCAGGGACATCTAGGGGAGTCGAACGAGCATCATGAGAACGATATGTGGGCATTTTTGGGCAGGGTACAGTACAGATGTGGCCAACCACGATAGAATGATCGGATTGACCAAGTGGTGCTGTAGCTCGGAGGCAGGATTATAGAGTCCGGTATATCAGTGACATCTAAGTCGAGAGCTGCCCCCATGCCAGACAATGACTCATGTGTTGGAAAATTTACGAGCTGCGTGTGAGAGAACATGCCGAAAAGACTGTGAAGCTGGCGACCAGCGGCATCCGTGGTAGTTCCATGCCAATGACATGACTTAGCATTACAGTTTCCCATCAACAGGATAGATGTTGTTCTGTTCTTAAGAGTACTTAGACAGTGCTGGAGGGAATTGCAGAAGGTGTTGATACTTGATGGGCTGGGCTTGACTTAAGGGCTGGGGGTCGATATACTGCACCAATAACCAACTTCTTCACATGAGGCGCCTCTGGGAAATGTATGTTAGCAGATGACAGGGCTATTTCCACCCATGTGGCTTCCAGGAGAGGGATGCTGAGGTCAGATCGATGGGTGACCTTTGGAAACATCCCAGACCGTACTATGATACAGACGCCGCCATATGCATGGGTGGCATCGGTAGCTGACCTGTTTTCGTCTGGCAGACGATCTCGGCGAAAACAGTCATATCCAGGGACCGTGAAAGACGACTGTGGAGAGAGCCATGTTTCCGTTATGCAAACAATGAGGGGTTTAACTGTGGAATAAATGTGAGCCAGCTCGGCAGTCTTGTTCTTAATGGACCTGGCATTGATGCACATTATAGGCTGTGATCCTGCGGTTGGCTGCGAAAGTGCGTAAAAAGGCTGAGCTAATGGATTATGTGTGCTGTTAGTAGTAATGTTTGGGGAACAGTGAGGAAGTATCGGGTGGTTGAGGTTCATTATTGTGCAGACTGATCGACGGTTGTGTTGTCAGCTGTACTTATTCTGACAGCCTTGAATCGCCATTCTTGAGCTGTCACTCCGTCAGGCCAAAAGTCAGTTTTTGCACAGCTTCCCAGTCATCTTCTGTGACGACTACGTGCGCGTACGCTAGGCCAAAGTACTTTGTCTCAGAGACGGAGCATTTCACTACAGTCACTTGCTTGCTTTCGCACCATTTTGCGATGGAGTAAGCAGAGCAACCAGGGTGAATTCTTCCAACACGAACAGCTTTGCATTTGGTACGATGGGCACTGCGCAGTTGCTCATGTTTGCGGGGTGGGCGCTGGTAGTATGAAATGACGTTTGTCCAGAGGGCTTGATCAGTATGTGTCCCCGTATTGGAGGTAGCTGACTGTGTCATGGGAGAATGCGATGGGAAGTGAGCTTTGGGACGTGCAGATACTACTTTTGCACTGTACGAGTACGGGTTGACTGCAGAGTGTGTATTCCGTGCCTGTGCTGCTGCATCCAGCTCAGGAGAGACTTCTGCTACGGGTACGCTAAGTACGGGTGCGTCAGGTGCGGGTGTAACCTTTTTGAATTTCGATCTGCCAATTTCTCTCTTCAGAACTTCAATTTTGGCGTGGAGGGCTGAAATTTCCGCTTTTTGGCCAACCTTCAGTGCCACTATTTCATTGCTCAGGTTTTCAATACAGGTCGTCAAAGATAATTATAATGCATTTTCTAGCCTGGATACATACGTTCCGGCTCATGCATCCACACCAAATGCCCGGAGGCTCTCCACCAGCTCAGCACGGGACAGCTTACTCACGCCCTCTATGCTGTGTTTTGTAGCCAGTTTCAGCAGGTCGTCGAATCCCAGCAAAGCTAAGTCCTTGGTCCCCTGGGCCTCCGACGCATCAGAGTCCATGCATGCCAACTACTACTACCCTCTACTATGCTCCAGACCGGCCTGATGCCGGCTGGGCTACTGGAAATCTACAAAGACTACGGAGTTCTAAAAACTCAACCTGACCTCCAGCTTTCCACTGTATAATGCGCATGCCATGCGCCAGTCATTGAAAACTGCAAATCACTGAGAAAAAAAAACAAAAACAAAACACAACCACACTACATACTACCGACAAGCGGCTGTGAGCGAGGAAGAAAACAAAAACACTTCAGCAAAAAAAAAAGGTAAAATGGTCTCTACGTGTCCATGGACACACTGTCCCACAGCAGCAGCAGTCATCCATAAGCCACTCTGGCCTTCTTTGTAAGGGTTACCTGACAGCCAGAACGGGTTTTCATGCCATCATGAAATCGCTTGGGAGACTCACTGGCTGGTGGACTGGTCTGATCCCTGCAGACATCGCTAGGAGAAACTGGACGAGGCGAAGAACACGCGGGTGAGGCGTCAGCGAGTGCAGTACCAGTGAGAGGGGCCTCAGCTTCCGTTGACGCTGGCACCAATGGCTCACTACCTGTCGCCGATTGTGGTGCGGCTGGGTTAGTGGGAACCGAAAAACTAACAGGAGGCGTGGACAGCGGTGACTTGGGTACGGAGGCAACAAACTCAGGCCAATCAGACGATGCAGCAGCATGTGAGACCAATTCTCTGACATGTTGGCGGTTACGAAGCAGAATCCGGACACCGTCGGTTACTCCCACTTGCCTCCCGTACTGCTCCACCACGGTCCCCGGCTTGGCTGGATCATTGTATCCGTCATGGAGGATCACCCGCTTGCCCGCCTGCAGATGTGGCAAGGCCTTCACTCCCCGACGAGCGTCATGATCACGTGCCATTGTTGCCTTGGCTCTCAGCTGCATGCTGGGGTTGACAATGCGAGGAGGGATCATGGTAGGAACTCTGCTACGCAATGGGCGAGAGAACAGAGCCTCGTTTGGAGAGGTTCCCAACATGCGGAGTCGAGAATGTCGGTCGTCGAACAGAACCTGGTTCAGTTGTCGACGGAAAGGTAAATGAGGCTTCAGTGCCACCATTCTTTCCTTGACGAGACGATGGAGTCATTTCACAATGCCATTGGAACGTGGATAACGTGGCCTGGAGCGGATGCGACGAATGCCCAGCCGCTGCAAGAAAGTGGTAATCTGCTCCGACACAAACTGTGGCCCGTTATCCGAAACCAGTACAGACGGTAGACCGAATAGGGCAAACACTTCATCTAGCTCGTCCACGATAGCTGTAGTGGTTGTAGAGGACAGAACCTTGAGGATGGGGTACCGGGAGCCATAATCAATGAGCGAGAGAACAGAGTGGCCCTCAATAGATACCAGGTCGATTGCCAGCTTTTTCCCACACGCCTTCAATCGCAGTGGGGAGAAGATCTTACGGACTGTTTGTGCGACATCGCCAACACTCGGAGCAACGTTACACATACAGACTAGCGTCCTTGGTGAGCCCTGCCACCAAACTCTCTGCCGGAGGGAATCTTGAAAGGCTTCCTGGCCCGGGTGTCCCTCATGCGCTAATGCCATGACGGAATGGTGTAGCCCTTCTGGTATCACAACACGTGCAACACACCGTCAGCTGCTGTGAGTTGATCTCTGACGAGATAGTACGGCTGCTCAGCGGGTGAGGCATCACGCCAGGATGAGGTGAGCACACGCTGCAGGACACTGTGGAGCGTTGCATAGTCTTGAGTGGCACGGCGGATCTCCTCAAGGTTGACTGGTGCTGCCTCAAGAACCATGTTGACGTACTCATTCAATGACCGGGACTCAGCTGGAGACAAGACAGGGGTCTTCAGCGGAGCACGAGACAAAGCGTCAACGCACAACAGTTGCTTTCCTGGGATGTGCTTGAGTGAGTACGAATATGGCATCAGAGAGACTAGCCAACGCTGGAGACGTGGTGGGACGTCATCGAACAGCTTCTGAACTATATGGAGCAGTGGTCTGTGGTCCGTGAAGACGTCCACATCCCGGCCCAGAACGTACTGGCGGAAACGAGTTAGAGCGAATACCACACCCAACATTTCACGCTCCATCTGCGAATAACGTGTCTCCACATCAGTCAATGATCGGCTGGCACAAGTGACTGGCACCCACTGGCCCTTGTCGTCGTGCTGCCAGAGGATAGCGCCCAAACCTTGAGGCGAAGCATCGTAGCTGACAGCCGTACGCACATCTGGAGATGGGCGGAAGTACGCCAATGTCTGCAGAGATGAAGCGACTGCCTACTTCACTGCGTTGAATGCCGCAATCAGGCTCTCAGTAGCTACAAATGGCTCTGGCTGCTTGACGATCGAACGAAGTGGCTCAGTTACTTGAGACAACTGAGGAACAAACTTGCCCAGATAGATGACCATCCCGAGAAAACGCTGAACGTCGGCGAGGCACGTGGGCTCCAACAGTTCACTAATAGCTTGAAGCTTGCATGTGTCGGGTTGAACACTTTGCTTCGTCAGGACATGGCCGAGATACTTGACACATGTCAGTCGAGTGCGACACTCGCTCCAGTTGAGGCAGAGATTAGCAGCTTTTAGTCGTTCCAAAACGCTAGTGAGCCGTGCGTCGTGTTCCGCCCGGTTGCGACCATACACCAAGACGTTATCTATATAGACAACAACACCAGGCAAACCCGAAAGGAGATCGGTTACAACACGCTGAAATATCTCGGGAGCACAGGATATGCCAAATGGCAGTGGTTTGAAACGATAGAGACCACAGTGTGTGGTAAACGTGGTAAGCGGTCGGGATTGGTCGTCAAGCAAGAGCTGGTGAAAACCAGACTCTGCGTCCAAAACCGAGAAAACCTCCGCTCCCGCAAGCTCAGCAGTAATTTGTCACTAATTTCATCAATGGTTGGCAATGAACGTCGCTCTCTAACAATAGACTTGTTCAACTGCCAATAGTCAACACATAGACGCAAGGTGACGTTTGACTTACGGACTGGGACAATCGGCTATACCCATCCAGACGCTTCCTTAACTGGCTCGATGATGTCTGCCTTGACAAGACGATGCAGTTCATGTTCAATGTCGGCCTTGGCGCTGAATGGGAGACGTCGTGCTGGTTGAGCCACCGGCCTAGCTTCAGCATCCACAGAGATGGAAATTGGTGCGGTGTCAACTAAATTGCGCCTAATCTTTATAATAGGAAGCAGTTCCTTTCATGGCAAGGAAGGACTCCAGCGCGCGTACTACGCCTCAGCCAAGGTACAGTAATACAGTTGCACTCGGTGAAATCTGGCCCGAAGTGCAAAGCCGGCGCCGCGAAGCCAGCTCCCATTACATCACTGGCAGTTTGTGTGTATGAACTCAACTGTACGCACCTCGTGTAAAAGTTCAGAGTGCATGTGTTGCATGCTAAAAACAGTTCAAAATTTCTTCCATTCACTTCACGAAGTACAGCTCAAGAAGAGATAGAGAAGAAGGACATGGCCATTCCCAAATTCTCGTACAGAGTCCACAGTGCAGACAGAACAGCAAACAAAGGACACACAAACATGCTCCGCAATCCCATTTCCAAAACGGGGTGAAACCATTCTCTACAGTTTTCTTTGCAAGCCCTATTCAAAAATGGAAAATAATGAGTTCTTTGGAGGAAATGAACTGAGTAGACGAGAAAAAATAGCGACCCTCTACAGAGCAGGTAATACTCCGAGACAAATTATGGACATAAACGGTTACAAGAAGACTCAGGTAAATGAAACAGATCATCAATAATGTGATAAAATCGAGAACAAGTCACAAAACAATCTTCGATTCTATTGTCCATGTTCAAGTAAAGGACACATGCAATTGAGTTGAAATTGGGAGAAGCGTAGCAAGACAGGCAGGCAGCGGAACAATGCCGATACTCTCACCTGTGGGCGTGGAGTTTGTTGCTGATCACATCGCTGCCAATCGTTTCGCGAGCAGTGAGAAGATTTCTGAGGTTCTGGACAAGGAGCAACCTGGTGGGGAAATGGCAGCCCCCAGCACGGTACGCAGAAGCCTCAGACGGAATAATTAAAGGTTCGTGCGGCCGGTGCGTAAATTTGTTCTGAAAGAAACAGCAAAGAACAGCCGGCTAGTATGGGGAATTGTGCATCGCCAGTTTGACTTTGACCGCGTTGTCTTTGCAGACGAGGCAAGCTTTGCCTTGGGTCCTGGCGGACGTGTTATGTCCTGGTACCCGCGGGACGACAAGCCAATAATTGAGGTGCCACACTATCCAGCAAAGCTGCACGTTATCGGGGCATTTCACTTTTCGGAACCGTTCAGCATTTGTCCTTTGCTGCGACGTGGAATGCAGCAACGTTCGCCCAAGGAATGGCAGCCAACATTGCACCGAGTGGCATCGGATTCTTTGCAAACGACTGGTCCTTGCAGCTCGACAATGCTACCTCCCACACGTCAGCTCAAGCACAGCAGGATCTTCTCGATAGCGGAGTACCCAACATCCTGTTTCAACCTCCCTGCTCGCCGGACATGAATCCAGTTGAGAATGTGTGGGCTCTTCTCAAGAAGAGAATAATTCCACATCGCTGCGAGAATGCTGACCAGCTGGTGCATGCACTGCACCTGGAGTGGGACTCCTTGGCTCCTGACACGGTTTTCCCATACGTGGAGTCAATGCCACGTCGTGTTGAAGCCCTAATCGAAGCCGACGGTGGCCACACAAAATATTGAAGCCCTGCTGCTCTGTGTATGAAATAAACTGCTTCGAAACGATCTCCGTCTTCTTTACTTGTGCTGAACTGAAATGAATGTTACACTTGTCTTTGTTTGGCGCGGTTCTTTACACTTTGGTGTAAGCATGCATGCGTATGAGTACAGCACATGCACAGTTCATACGGCACACGTGCACTCTAGCACTTGTATAACGTTGAGGGCGTCAAGGGCCGCATCCGCAATTCAACACCCGTGAACAGGAATGTTTTGGTGTGTGCAGAGATGTCCATAAAATGATTCAAAACAGTTCTTAGTATTGTATACTTGCGCCTGTCATATGCCCCTCCACCCACAAGAGGAACATTGCAACATTACTTTGCCTCAAAAAGAATGCAAACTAATCAGCAATCTCGTACCCAGCACTAAAGCATATATTGGGGTTTTCCAGCACTAGCTTGTAAACAATTTTTCAATTGACTTATCACAATGTTGTGCATGAGACTGCCTCACTTCGTAGTGGATTGTGCATTATACCCAATATGTACTTATCTTATGGATAACGTATAGGAATGTCTGGTCATGTGTGTTACCTGTACACAGGAAGGTGAACTTCCTGTTCATTACGCTGCTCGCAATGGACATCTGGAAGTTGTCAAGTATCTACGAGATCTCCAACACGACACGATCTCTGCAAAGGACAATGTAAGTTTAGCAATCTCTATCGTTGATTCTCCTTGACCCTTTGTGTACGGACTGTACAACTTTCGATCCCCTGGGATCGAAACTTTTCAAATTTTCAATCGATCGTAACTCAGTCATTTCTGGGTTATTTCCAAAACCTAAATGATGTAGATCGAAGAGAAAACTCCCAGCTGTCCATTGAAACAGTCGCAGAAACACTCTGATGTGCGGTTCCAGAGTTACGAAGCTTGAAAGTCAAATCGCGGCAATTGTCGCTCAATAGCCGCGTGCGCAGATTTGAATTATGGATTTTCCCATCTTTCTGGGCATCCAGTGACGTAGAAACATATTCAAAATGGCAAACGGACTCGTGGCAGATTGTGAAATTTTTTTGGAAGTAAAAATTAGTTGTTACAAGCAAGGAGAGCGAAATGGCGGATACAAGATGACTTCTGTCGGAATATTGGCGTTGCAACTAAGACGCCGGGCTGTAGCGCTGGAGTTTTGACCTTCGTGGTGGCAAGTGTGGGCTCAATGTGTTCCTCTTGCGACGAGCTTTCCAGGAAGCTCAAGATTGAAAAAATCGTCAAAAGGAGACCAAAGTTATGACCCGGAGAATTATGGAATTTGAGGCGAGTCGAGATCAAATTCAGTCTGTGTACATTTTTTCAGTACATAAAGGCAGGGCATAAAAGGCATTTTTTCCAGGACACGGTTTGAGCAATATATTCGATCGCAATAAGTAGCATCTAGTCACTCGCGCCAGGCCAGAGCAACAGAACTTAACCTTACGGATTCCACCATCTGCCAATAGAGCAGACCATGGCACACCATCCACTCTTGGGTCCATACAATGGCCCTCCCTACAGGCTAAAGGGACGTAAATATATTTTCCTGGTGTATGTGTGTTTGTGTGTGCGTGGGGGGGGGGTATGCGCATGCGTGTATGGGTGTGTGCATACAGCAAGTGTAGTCAACTCTCTTGGCCGTTCTATGCTGATGTACCCCGTGTTGTGTATACCACGTGTGCATTGGTGTTCGATTCTCATGGCTTCACAAGTTGTGTTGATTGGGCAGATATCTGGCACTAGTCTTGATCTGTCTCATTCAGATCTTGTCCACTATCGTTTCTATAAGAGAAAATCTGTGGGTGCACATCCAGTACATTTGCAGATTTGCGTGCTTCTCTTGTGACGGGCGTATACATGTTGCATGGTGTGTATGAGTGTACTTGTGTGTGTGTTTGTGTGTGTGTGTGTGTGTGCGTGCGTGTGTGTGTGTGTGTGTGTGTGAGTGTGTGTGTGTTCAACCTGTCGGAAGGTTGCCCTCTTGCCAAAGCATTTGGAAGTTCAGCCCTCACCATCGTCTACACGGATTTCAAAAGCGTCGACCTCCATTTTGAAAACATGGTGGCTGGCCGCTCTACCCGTAGTCGCACGTGCCCACCGCGTGTCTTAGCGCGAGCTTCGAGCTAAAGATCATGTCGCCCACTCATTTTCCTGTGTTTCCCCATTTCTTCGAACTCGCTCAGCTTTTGCTTCAGCTTTTGCTTCAGCTTTTGTTTCGCTCGCGCTCGTGCTTCAGCTCCACGCTGTAGTCTGAGTTTAGTTCTCTTGTCTTCTTCCAGCAGAATACTGCAAACTCTACAGCACGTCGAGCTTCTCCTAGAAGAGTTTATTTTGCGTCGAGGCAGACTGTCGATCGTTTCAGTCCTATCTTGCCGTCGTCTCATGAGCGCCCGAAAGCAACAGTATCTATTTTCGTGGCGTTCCATTTTGTGGCGAACTCATTCACCTACTACTTCTTCCTTTATGAAAGCTTCAGGTGGCTGAGTTCTCCCACTAGCGACAATCATGCCTTGGAAAAGAACAGGATATTCCTAAGGTATATACAGCCAGTGCAGTGATGTCAGTGTACTGCACTGCAAAAAGCACCTGCATGTACTGCGCGTAGTTGTTGTTTGTTTTGTCGAGAAAGAATCCCTTTCGCACTCGCGCGGGCCGCGAGGGCGCAGCACGGAAACGGGTCTATTGAATTCATTTCTTAGTCGATTTTGACAACCAATACGTCGTTGTTTTTCTTTTTTCACTGGCTATCCTTTCTCCGCTTCCGAATTGCGATGCCGTCCACCTGTAAAGCCTTGAAGTGAAACGAGTGGACGCCGGTTTCGGAGGTAATTTTCGGCCAAACAGCAATCAAATCGAAAAATTCGAAGCGGACGATCTGTTGGTATCTATCGAAAGAAGACGTTGGTCCATAAAAAATCTTTGGAAGCTACAACGTATGAACCAAGGAATTACGGTAAGTTTGAGAATTTTGGTACATTAGCTGTACGCTGATTGGTCGATTAGCGCGACCGTTGAGAAACGGGCCAGTGACGCTTTGTACAGCGTTGGTGAGGGCTGAAGTTGGACTAGTTTCGGCTCCACAATCCAGTGTGTCGTTACTATATAGCTTTCATGGCTGAGGTTGTTGGTACTTCTATTGGCCCTGGGTTCCCAGTTCCCAGTTGCCGTGGCTGGTTTGTAAACTAACTCCAATTTCACTTCAAGGTACCAGTGCATCTAGTGTCTGCTTCTATCAAAGCAGCGTGCTGTCTATACTGGTTACCCCAGCAAGTGTAGGGTGTGCATAGGTAACTGTCTTGGCCGTCCTATTCCGATGTACTCCGCGTGGTATTGACCAGGTGTGCAGTAGGGGGTCGATTCATATGGCTTCGCCAGATGTGTGGATTAGGCAGTTATCTGGTGCTTGTCTTGATCTGTTTCATTTAGAATCAGATCCGCTATCGTTGCTATAAAGAGAAAGTCTGTGGGTACACATCCAGTGCATTTGCAGATTTGTGTTCTTCTCTTGCGACGGGCGTATACATGGTACATGGTGTGTGTGTATGTGTGTGTGTGTCTGTGTGTGAGTGTGAGTGTGTGTTTGTTTGTGTGTGTGTGTGTATGTAAGTGTGTTTTTTTGTGCATACCGTATTTTTCCGGTTGTAAGTCGACCTTTTACGACTAAAAATAGAAGGAGAAAGGGTGGGGGTCGACTTAAAACAGGGATTCGACTTATAACCGGGAACGATCAGTATCTTACAAAAAATGACCTGCACTGCATGCACGAGTGCACCATGTGTACACATTTTTGCCAGTTTATTGCAATTTTTCAAGGATTGGGACGGTATGCCCTCCAATAAGGAATGATTACCTGATTTGTTGATGTGTTAGTAGCAGGGAGTGGTTAGTAATGCTTCGTTGGGTGAAAACTTTAAAACGCAGAATTGAGACCTCCAGATACGGGGGTCGACTTATAACCGGGGTCGACTTACAACCGGTAAAATACGGTATGTGCATGTGTGTGTGTGTGTGTGTGTGTGTGTGTGTGTGTGTGTGTGTGTGTGTGTGTGTGTGTGTATGTATGTAAGTGTGTGTTTTTGTGCATTTGTGCGTGTGTGTGTGTGTGTTTGTGTGTTTGATTAACTCTTTGTAATGAATGGTGGTCTTGAGGCTTACACCAGATCAACTCTGTTTTAGCCACCCACACTGGTAGCAAGCAATGGCCGAAACTTCACATGATTTACGGATCTACAGAAGAGCCACAGGAAAGCGTACACAAACAAGTTATGGACAAAGTCCATCAAGTTAACGTTGCCTCACCTTAGACGAGTTCCTGGGGTGGGGGTGTCATAATCTTCCAGTTCATCAAGCGGCTTGCAGCGCTTATCCAGACAGAGCAATTTTTCTATGGGACAAGACTCTCAAGTATATCTCTGTGTAAAACACGGTTAGAATTATTTTTGAAAACACAGCACAACATTATGATGAACGTAATTGTAGAGCATGAGAACACAATAAGAATTATTGCCAATTGGTCTGGTCATAGATGGCAACATTGCCTTCAGAGATATGGGAAAGGGATACTTGATGTTGGCCGCATCACATCCAGCCTTTCCACGATATGACAATTGCCGTCGATTCCAGTAGAGTACTGGTGCTCGTGATATCCGTTTGTTGGTTTTGTTGTTGCTGCTATGGATGCTATGGCTGTGTAGGATGGGTATTCTCCTCTTGGTCAAGCAGTGTACTTTGGGGATGTAGGCTGTGTACCCTACTTGCTAGACGTCACCTGGGCTACGCTTGCATATGATGAGGTAAGTGTTGTGAAAAGTATGTTGTGTGTTAAGGATAGGTCTACCAGCTTTGTCTGTGAAGATATTTTTGGTTCCTGTGAAAAGACTTGGTCTCGAATCACTCCCCCCCCCCCCTCACCCCTCACCCCTCACCCCTCATCCCTCACATGGACAAGTCACTATCAGTATGATATGAGTGTTGCTCCTGAAACACGTAGCTGCACATAAGGTTGGATAACCTGGACGATCTCCATTGAAATCGGTTTGAATATGATGAAAGAGTACTTTCTGCAGATTAAATGCGTAAGACAAACATAGCATGCGTTCTTCTCTAGTCTATTTCCTCACTGTCTACTTCAAGGTGTATTGGGTATCATCATCGTGTACAGTGCATCTCTTTTTTACTCTTCACTTCAATCCACTTCTTTTGTGTATCATGTTAAATATTGAGAGTTGTCTGAAAGGTCTATCATGTCTTACTGTGCACCGCTGCTATTTACGGTGTAACAGGTTTAATCAAACTTGAAAAGTAAGAGGCCTGGTTGAGCGTGCCTCGACCAGTTATATGCAAAATGTGATAGTATACATGTGGCAATGGCGCCAATGAAGGTGCTAATAGACAGGCGTAAGACGCATGAGGTGCGAGGGAGTGTAAAGTTATAGAGAACAGGGGAAAACTGTTACATCATCCCCCTCCTATGGAGAGGAAGGAGCTTATAACCCAAATGCTCAAGTGGAATAGAGTACAATAAGCGCAAACACGTGCGAGACGAAAAAAGGCTTCGCACTGAAGTAACACAATAAGACGACTGAAACTCCATGCAAATAAAGTGTAATAAGCTCAACAAATGTGTAAGGTGAAACTAGAAGTTCAACTGCAAAACTCAGCGGGCAGAAGCCAAGGTTTTGTACTTCTGAAGTGGAACAATGTCATTACCAGATTCATCCAACAAATAAAGTTCAGGCTCCCAAGTGGCATCAGAGTAGCCTTGCCACTTGACTAGGTACTGAAGCTGATTCTGCCGGCGGCGGTGACTGAGAATGTTCTCCACCACATAGCGGGCATGACCATCAAGGTCCGTGATAGGCGTAGGCGTAGGCTGTCTCCTATTAGGAATAGCGTTCTTCTCGTAGGCACGGAGTGCCGACACATTAAATACCGGGTGACAGCGGCTGGTATGAGGCAACTTGAGCTTGTAGGCATTCGGGCCGACCACATGGGTTATAGGAAAGGGGCCAAACCACTTGGGGCGTAATTTATGGGATGGTCGGTCCCGAGCTTCAGGAGTCAGGAGGAAATCCCGGTAGACCATTACCAAATCTCCCACCTTCAGCTTTCCCTCGACCCTTGTCCGATCTGCATAGAAGGCCTGACGAGCTTGAGCTGCCACTAACGCATCTTGTGAGATCTTGACCGCGTCTTGTCTTGCTTGCAACCAATCAGCTGAATCTCTGCCTCCCTGAATAGGGTTGAGGAAGTCGGGTGGCGCTCTGGGATTTAGACCGTAATTTAAGAAGAACGGTGTGTTTCCTGTAGATGATTGAGTAGCGCTGTTGATAGAAAACTCACAGAGAGGTAGGAGCATATCCCAGTTATCTTGTTTATGATTTACAAAAGCCCTCAGCACATCCTCTACTATTCTGTTTACTCGTTCAGTTAGGCCATCTGTCTGAGGGTGATTGGCAGTACTAAATGCTAGTTTCGTTCCTAAGCGATCAAACAATTCCTGAAAAAATGCTGCCGTAAATCTTGGATCACGATCACATACAATACTAGAACTCAAACCATGAAGTCGAAATACATGTTGAATATACAGATCAGCACTTCCTTTAGCGTCAATAGTAGAGGAAGTAGGTGCTAAATGTACACACTTTGTCAAGCGGTCTACAAATACATATATAGCATCATGACCTGTATCGGTCCTAGGCAAACCCATGATAAAATCCATCGAGAAATCCGCCCACGGCTGACTGGGCACTGGTAAATTCTGCAAGAGACCAGTTTTTAGCTGGCCGCCTTTAACTCGTTGGCAGACGTCACATGACTTGACAAACGCCTTTACATCCAGTCCCATTCTGGGCCAATAGAAATATCTAGCGAGTCTGAAATAGGTGCGATCTCGACCGGGATGCCCCGCAGTCACACAGTCATGGTATTCTTGAAGCAGGGCGAGTCGGAGTTTGCTACTCTTTGGAATGCATAACCTGTTCTTCTTAAATTACGGTCTAAATCCCAGAGCGCCACCCGACTTCCTCAACCCTATTCAGGGAGGCAGAGATTCAGCTGATTGGTTGCAAGCAAGACAAGACGCGGTCAAGATCTCACAAGATGCGTTAGTGGCAGCTCAAGCTCGTCAGGCCTTCTATGCAGATCGGACAAGGGTCGAGGGAAAGCTGAAGGTGGGAGATTTGGTAATGGTCTACCGGGATTTCCTCCTGACTCCTGAAGCTCGGGACCGACCATCCCATAAATTACGCCCCAAGTGGTTTGGCCCCTTTCCTATAACCCATGTGGTCGGCCCGAATGCCTACAAGCTCAAGTTGCCTCATACCAGCCGCTGTCACCCGGTATTTAATGTGTCGGCACTCCGTGCCTACGAGAAGAACGCTATTCCTAATAGGAGACAGCCTACGCCTACGCCTATCACGGACCTTGATGGTCATGCCCGCTATGTGGTGGAGAACATTCTCAGTCACCGCCGCCGGCAGAATCAGCTTCAGTACCTAGTCAAGTGGCAAGGCTACTCTGATGCCACTTGGGAGCCTGAACATTATTTGTTGGATGAATCTGGTAATGACATTGTTCCACTTCAGAAGTACAAAACCTTGGCTAACGCGCTGAGCGGTCTTGATATCGTTTATCAGCCGAACGACGAGTACGAGGAGCGTAAGCAGAGCGACCAGAACACCTGCCAAAAGCAGAGTAGTAACCATCCTCTGCTACCAGTGTAACAGGTTTAATCAAACTTGAAAAGTAAGAGGCCTGGTTGAGCGTGCCTCGACCAGTTATATGCAAAATGTGATAGTATACATGTGGCAATGGCGCCAATGAAGGTGCTAATAGACAGGCGTAAGACGCATGAGGTGCGAGGGAGTGTAAAGTTATAGAGAACAGGGGAAAACTGTTACATACGGTGTAACAAGTAAAGTGGCCGGTGCTTTTCTGTGTGTTTTTTTTGCTATGTGATTGTTATTGCGACTTGTGAAACTGATGACAGTGAAGAGTGTATTGCTATACAAATAATTATTGATACTGTGTTTCCAATCCAGGCCAAGGAGATCGTGGAGAAAGTCAAGAGACTAGCTGAAGAGAAGGAACGAATGCAAATATTGGATTTGGCTAAGGTTAGAAATGTCATTCCTTAGGATTTCTAACTATTTGCTCATGGATGAGAGGAAAGACAGATTGGTACAACTTGTGTGTAACGAGCCAACCGATGTAACCGGATCAAATAAAAAATCAGTTAGAAGATGTGACAAAGCACAAAATTGACAGGATACTGAGACATTCAACGCCCTGACACCTAGATCTGACACATCTCCAAAGCGAAAAACGAAGAACATTTCAAGGTGAAATGCACAGGTTAGGAAAGTCCAATGAGGAGAAGGGAAGCGCAAACATTTGCAGATTTGCGTGCTTCTCTTGTGACAGGCATATACATGTTACGTGGTGTGTTACAGTTATCAGTGTACTTGTATGTGTGTGTTTGTGTGTGTGTGTGTTTGTGTGTGTGTATGTGTGTGTGTGTGTGTGTGTGTTTGTGTGTGTGTGTATGTGTGTGTGTGTGTGTGTGTGTTTGTGTGTGTGTGTGTGTTTGTGTGTGTGTGTGTATGTGTGTGTGTGTGTGTGTTTGTGTGTGTGTGTATGTGTGTGTGTGTGTGCGTGTGTGTGTGTATGTGTGTGTGTGTGTGTGTGTGTGTGTGTGTGTGTGTGTGTATGTATGTGTGTGTGTGTGTGTGTATGTGTGTGTGTGTGTGTTTCCTAAGTCCACTATGCTCCCGAATGAATGCGGAAAGTGGTGGCGGGGCCCTGCTGCTCAGCCGACCTTGGTGGTTTCGGCGTCTGCACAGACAAAGCGCGCCAAGAAAAATAGAGAAGGACATAAGAGAGAGAGAGAGAGAAAAACAAGACGAGAGCAAGGCATGTATACGGAAGTGCAGCGCCCACTATTAGCGCCCACACATCCACTGCAGAGGGATAAAGATAAAAGATATGTTGGATAGTGAGATGGGGTCAATCAGAACTTAAGAGAGCATGTCTGAGAATACCAAAGTATGTGTGCAAGTGGATCTCTCCGATTTCGCTCAAAATTTGCAAGTAGGTTCCCTTTGGGGTGTGGATCGATTGTGCAAAGCCCTTGAAAAAGTTTCTGAAGGGAACCTTGAAATTTGCATACCCCTCAAAAATGGCCGAAATATCACATTATTTATGGGTCTAGAAACGAGTCACGCCACAGCGTATACGAACAAGCTATGAACAATGATCACTTGTCACTCCAAACGACAAGCTTCTCCTTGCGCCACCAATAAATTTTTGTGCGACTGTTGATGCAAAAGTGACTGAAGGCCTGAGCGCAGTTTTTGAATTTTATTGCAAGATGCACAGTGAAATCACGTGCCTTCTGACGCAAGAATGCCAGGTCGCGTGGCCCACGGCTCACGAGATTTCAGAGTCACCTTTGTCAAGTGCGCTTGTTACTCGCCTTGAACGCTCGTTGGTCTGGAAGGGATCACACTTGTGTTGTTACTGCGCTCAAGAACACGCTGACCGTGTTGTAGGCCTACGAACCGGGACTTTCCCTGACCATGTAGGTCGAAGACCAGTGATATGTATCTAATATTGACTGAGTACGAGGTCAATATAGGAAATAAAAGCCGAGTAAAAGACCGAGGCGAAGCCGAGGTCTTTTACGAGGTTTTATTTCTTATACTGACCAACTACGAAGTCAATATTAGATTTATCACGACAAACAGTCCGTATTTCAAATTCCAGAACGATAACCTCATGAATCCCGGTTTTATGATTGCACAACCGTTGTACCACGGCCTACTCATGCACTGACTCTGCTGCACTAGGCACCGTTCAACTGCGCAGCCCCTCAGCAGTCAAATATAAGCAGTCAATATAGCCCTAAGGAGTGAAATATGCAGGAATATTTGACTGCTTAGGTATGGCAAAAATCTATGTGAGTCAATACTAAGGGAGTGATAATATTATTTTATTATTATTATTAGACACAATCTCATAGCATGTGACAAGCATAGCTAATGCAGGGACAGAATCCCCTGAGACAAGGGCGTTGAGCCAGCCACGGCAGTATGATGATGAAATCACATTTTTTATGACGTAAGAAATCTCTCATGCAGTTCACGCGACAAGTGCGTGCAGCCAGTGCTGCTCGCGTGCCAGTCAACACAAAGAGACCGAGCTAGCCGCTTTTGTCGAGCATCGACATGAAAACAAGGCACTTTTACTGTTGAACTATGTTCGGGATTGCAGGAGGTAAGTGTGAAAGACGAATAACTCTCCATGCTGTACGGGGCATATTTCAACGGCTTGCTGCCATTGCAACACTCCTGGGACAGTTTGTGGGGGTTCTCAGCAGTTCAAGCAGGAAATGAAGCTCATCTTACCTCTGCCATCATGATCTGTTCCGAGTAGCGTTCCAGGCACATTCGCGATCGATGGCCGTGTATCGTGATGCAGGAAGCGACATCATACGTCACAGAGCACGCGATCTGACCGTGCATCTTGGAATAAAATTCAAAAACTGCGCTCAGGCCTTCAGTCACTTTTGTATCAACAGTCGCACAAAAATTTATTGGTGGCGCAAGGAGAAGCTTGTCGTTTGGAGTGACAAGTGATCACCGCTGCTTTTCCTTGTCAGAGTCAACACTACACTTTGTTCTGCGGCCTTGGGAGTAGTGTTGGAGTAGAAATTGCTTAGGAGACGTTGTGGAGGGGCGAGCTTTCCTGCGCAGGTATGACTTTGGCCGTATTTCAGCATGGTCGAGTGGAAAAATTCAAAAAAGTTTATTTCAAGAAAACCCCAAAAGGAAGATGGGGGGACATGTCCTCAGCGCTAGAAGAGGTGTTCTACTATCTGCCGGTGTATAGTTCTGGCCAATTGAGGACGTAGCTGGCTGTTTTGCCAGCGCTTGTAAATTGGCTATTTTCAAGACGATCATTTGTGGCGTCAGGGGGTGATGGACCTCGTCTTCTGGGATGCTGGCGTGGCTAAGCGGTACTGCTCCAGGAACTCTTCTAAGGTGAGGCAATGTTGGCTTGATGGAGTTTTGTTCATAGCTTGTTCGTATACGCTGTGGCGTGACTCGTTTCTAGACCCATAAATAATGTGATATTTTGGCCATTTTTGAGGGGTACGCAAATTTCAAGGTTCCCTTCAGAAAGATTTTTCAAGGGCTTTGCACAATCGATCCACACCCCAAAGGGAACCTACCTGCAAATTTTGAGCGAAATCGGAGAGATCCACTTGCACACATACTTTGGTATTCTCAGACATGCTCTCTTAAGCTAAGGAAGTCAAAGAGCGTCAGTTGCTCTCTGCCAGTCAAGGCGCAGCAGGTACTTATGGCATCTTTCCTTGAAGGACCGCAGCTGTTGTGGGTGCGGTGCAGATTGCAAGACATGTCCTGGCAGGCTGTTTCACCTTGGGATGGCGCAATCGGGGAACCCATTGCGGAGGCTTCGGGAGTGTTGATTTTAGCTGGTTCTGGTGTTGCTGAGCAATCTTAGTAGCCAGCCTGGTCGATGGTCAGCACGGAGGGCGTGGGTCGGCTGGAGCTGGTAGAATGGCCCTAAGGGGATTTGTGGGGGGCAGATAGGTTAGCTTGAGGAGGAGTGACAGGGATGCAATCATTCTGCGGTGCTCCAGGCTGGGAAGCCAAACTCCTGGGCCAATGATCGTTAGCGCCCTGTGCTGCATCTTGTCCAGGCGGGAGGTACTGGAGCCCATCCACACCAAGGAGCAGTACTCCATGAGAGGGCGGACAAACCCCTTGTACACAGTGGTGCGACCTCTGGTGTCTAGGAGGGGGGCAACCTTGGCAAGGAAGTGGAGCCGCTGAGCAGCTTTGGTTGCAATGGAGTGGAGGTGCGTTGAGAAGGACAGCTAGGTGTCAAAAGTGACACCAAGCAGCTTAAGAGAGCATGTCTGAGAAAACCAGAACAAATGTGCAAGTCGATCTCTCAGATTTCGCTCAAATTTTGCAGGTAGGTTTGCTTTGGGGTGTAGACCGACATTCCAAAGCCCGTTCAAAATCTTTTGAAGGGAACCATGAAATTGGCATACCCCTTAATATTGGCCCAATATTGGCACGATTTATGGGTCTACAAACGAGCCACGGCACAGCGTACAAGAAGAAGCTACAAACAAAACTCCATCAAGCCAATATTACCTCACCTTAGAAGAGTTCTTGGGGAAGCACCACTTAGCCACGCCAGCATCCCAGAAGACGAGGGCAATCATTCCTTGACGCCACAAATCATCGTCTTGAAAATAGCCAAATTACAAGTGCTGGTAAAACAGCGAGCTACGTCGTCAATTAGCAAACACTATACACCGGCAGATAGTAGAACACCTCTTCTAGCACTGAGGACATGTCCCCCATCATCCTTTTTGGGTTTTCTTGAAAATTAAATAAACAATTTTGAATTTTTCCACTCGACCATTCTGGAATACGTCCAAACTCATACCTGCGAAGGAAAGCTCGCCCCTCCGCGACGTCTAGTCAGCAATTTCTACTCCAATACCACTCCCAACGCTGCAGAACAAAGTGTATTGTTGACTCTGAAAAGGAAAAGCAGCGGTGATCACTTGTCACTCCAAACGACAAGCTTCTCCTTGCGCCACCAACATTTTTCGGTGCCACAGTTGATGCAAAAGTGACTGAATTTTTGGAGTGACTGGTCGTTTGGAGTGACAAGTGATCACCGCTGCTTTTCCTTGTCAGAGTCAACAATACACTTTGTTCTGCAGCGTTGGGAGTGGTTTTGGAGTAGAAATTGCTGATTAGATGTTGCGGAGAAGCGAGCTTTCCTGCGCAGGTATGAGTTTGGACGTATTCCAGAATGGTCGAGTGGAAAAATTCAAAATTGTTTATTTCAAGCAAACCCAAAAAGGATGATGGGGGACATGTCCTCAGTGCTAGAAGAGGTGTTCTACTATCTGCCGGTGTATAGTGTTTGCTAATTGAGGACGTAGCTCGCTGTTTTATCAGCGCTTATAATTAGGCTATTTTCAAGACGATCATGTGTGGCGTCAAGGGATGATAGCCCTCGTCTTCTTGGATGCTGGCGTGGCTAAGTAGTGCTGCCCCAAGAA